TTTCTGGACATTCTCAAGGATATAATCTGTCTTGGCATTAAAGAGACCTACCCTGTCGAATGGGAGGTCCTCAATGCATGCACACACATCCTCTGCGAGGCCAGCACTTCTGAGCCAGGAGAAATGGCAAAGCACTATCAAGGTAGCCATTGATTTCGAAGTTGCATCAACCGTATGTCTGGCTGACAGCATCTGTTGTTTTGCAACAGAGACACCTTCCTGCTGAAAAGTTTGTGCTACCACCCTTTTGTCCTCAGGGAGTGCATCAATAAAGTAGATATGTTGTCCCCCCAAAAAATGTTGATAGGCACCCATAGCCCCTTGATAATTGGCCACCCTCATGGTGGAGGCAGCGGAGGAGTATGGAATTAGGGGCCGGCTGTTTCTGCAAGAAGCCAGCACTTGGGTCATACACTCAATAGAGATTGTCAGTGTGTTTCGACACCAAGTGAGAGGATGCTGGTTTGGTCTAAGAACGCCTAGCTGTGCTGAGGAGAGATGGAAGCATGGAAATATGGACACATGGAAGCATGGAAATACGGATCCAATCTCTAAGGTTGTAGTGACCTTAGAGATGGGATCATAAAGATGATCCACTGGTTCGGTCGTGGGTCTGTGGATTTGGAGGTCAAGAGATTTAGCCATGCAAACCATTATCTGAGTATAAGTTTGAAAGTCCTCTGCCAGAGATGAAGGATCTGTATCTGCCAGGTCTGAGTCTGGAGATGTTAACAATACAGATGGTGTTTGGGGTCTAGAGCCATGTTCGGATATTTCAGCATTGTGCCTTGAGTCAACCGTCAATCGACATCGACGTCAAAGGACTGGTCCTCAAAGTATTTGTGTTGTCAACACTGATGGTGCGTCGGTGGACAGCGGTTGCTGTCAAGGGTCGTTGACTGGTATTGACATTGATGGGGCATCCATGGGTAGGGGTCAATATTGAGGGTCGTTGACCACTGTAGGCACGGATGGACAATGGCCAATACCGAGGATCATTGGTATCAAAAGGGTTGGTGTCAAGGTGTGGTGAAATGGAAGTTGTTGCTCTTGTTGAGACAGCTGTCGAGGCGGTAGAGGCATTGATGGACCACATTGGATTATAGTGGAATAGAGGGATGACGGTGACACCGAGCAAGATGAATGGTCACAGTCATTTTGACGAGTGGAGAAATAATAGCTTGTTGGTGCCGCAAATGTGCCCTAAGCCGAAGAGTAGTGATTGGCTTTTTTGGATTTCTTAAGCTCTGGCTGGCAGTAGGTGCCAGGCAATCCTTGGTGATCATGGCGATGATCACTTCGACAATGAAGGTTCACGTGTGTAAGAGACATGCTGTGGCACTGCTGCTGGACCAGGAAAAGCAACTGGTCAATAGTACTTGGTGGGCTTTTCCACTGGGCACCAATCGGGGCAAAAGGCATCCCGGTGATGGTGCTGAGCATGATCTGTTTCTGTGCAAGAAGGCAAGTGGAAGCTCTTATATGATTGGTGTCTTAGGTGAAGTGCTGGAGGCCGAGGTGATAGGCCTACTGGGGCAGAATAAGGCACAGTTTCAGGCTGTATTTCAGTCCCTTAGATATTAGGCGAAGCCGCCAGAGAAGATCCACTCAAAGAGCCCAAGGATTGTTGAGGGCAGGTAGGAGAGAACATGAGCTGGTCGACTCGTTGTTCACATTCTGGAGACTGCGATGGAGGCAGTTGGTGAGGTGAAAGTCCCTCCTCATCTGGCAGAGAACCCACACAAATGAAGTCTCTGGACTCTAGAGGCTGTGTAGTTGGGGAAACAGTTTTGAAAGGCTTCGACCTGTAAGACCTCAACCTTTTTTGGTGGTGAAGGTTCAGGAGCCAACGAAGCGTTGGTGGATGGCTTTCGTTTAGTGGCCACTTTTGATGTTGAAGGTTTCAATGTTGACTGTTTGGGCTTGTGCACCCATGTGGTAGTCAATGTTGGGGTGCAGCAGACTCTCGGTGATCAGAACGGGATGGAGTGGCTGAAGGACGTTGTTTTGTCACTTCAGAATCAGCTTTGTCCATGGCTTTAGTGTGTGGGATGGATTTGCATAAAGATTGAGCCATAAATTTAGGAGGCTGGAGGGACTGTTCCCAAAGCCAAAGCTTAAGTCTAGAGAGATGGCTCCGGAGAACTCTATGCTTAAGGTTTTGGAGTGAGGGCATGAGAAGGTTTGGTCAGCCTCACCGAGGCAAAAAAGACATTTAGCGTGACTGTCAGGGAGTGGAACTTTGTTATTGCAGGCCATGCAGCATTTAACGGGCCCAAAGAGGCCATGAAGTGAAAAACTGGTTGGGGGGGGGTGCTTCAGCCCTAGGGCCACAGCATTATTGCAAAAGATTAATAAGCAAAAGAATAATTAACAATTCATTAAAGGAAAAGATTTAAAAGAAATTAATAATTTTAGACAGGACTCACAAAAGTGACGATAGAGGCTCTCAATGCTGCGGTTGAAAAAAACTGAAGGGACAGCCTTGGGGCCAAGGTATATATACCAAAGGGGAGGGTTCTGCACTAATGTATCTTTTTGCTACCACAGAAGCTGTAGAATATTCCAATGAGGCTCCGCACATGTGCGGATTACCTACAGTGTGAATCACAGAGGCTGCGAAGAAGAACTACTGTACTTGTTATTTAGCAGATTGGTTAGGCCAAGATTTTTGACCAATACAGGAACTCCCAATTAAAAGCAATAAATTTGTCAGACAGGCAATGATAACACCTGAATATTATCTGCTATAAATCCTCCCAGGTACTCTTGATTTGAAAGTAAATGCATCTCAATGTGTATATTGCACAATTGTAAATGCATATTCTGTACAATGGGAATTCATTTCCAGTGATAACTGCATAATGATCAATTTAAAATGATGAGCATAGGCCCTCCCTCCAAAAAAGAAAAAAAACAGGGAGGAGGGGAAAAGATAGGGAAATAAAATTAAATAACAAAGAAGCACACATCATTTGAAAACATGCTGATTTGTCTCTCTCATAATCTACTACTGTGTATGTTACATATCATCAAGTCACATCATATAATGACCCTAAAGGGTTTTTCAAAATACAGTGGTGCCTCGCTTGACGACGTTAATTCGTTCCTGCGAAATCGCTGTAGAGCGAAATCGTTCTCAAGCGAAATAAAAAACCCACTGAAACGCATTGAAAACCGTTCAGTGAGTTCCAATGGGCGAAATACCTGCTCGTCCAGTGAAGATCCTCCATACGGTGGCCATTTTCTGGTACCTGTAATGTGAGGAATCCATCCCAACACAGCGGGGAGCCATTTTCTACAGCCAGTGGCCATTTTGAAACCCAACGATCAGCTGTTTGCTGATGGTCATAAAGCGAAAAATCGGTTCCCGAAGCAGGGAACCAATCAACATTAAGCAAAATTCCCCCATCTAAACATCATTTTGCGATCACAAAAACTTCAACGTTAAGCGGATTTGTCATCAAGCGGGGTAATCGTCCAGCGGGGCACCACTGTAAGTGAAATATTTAAGGAGTGGATTTATCAGTAACCCCCCCCCATCCAATGGCAAAGTGGGAATTCAAACCCAGATCTCATGAGTCCTAGTCTGTCACTCTATCCACTACAGCATACTGAGTACCTCAATCTATTATTACTGTTATATGCAACTTTTCAAATACACTGTGATATTGTCAGATACAGTGGTGCCTCGCATAGCCATCACTCCGTTTAGTGACAAAATCGCTTTGCGATGGACTTTTTGCCATCGCAAAAGCGATCGCTTTGCGATGTTCCCTATGGGGTATTTTCGCTTTGCGATGATCGCAGGGAAGAGATCATCGCAAAGCCCCCATTTTCGCACAGCTGATCGGCGGTTTCAAAATGGTCACCGGGGAAAAAAACAGCCGCCCCCTGTTTTTTGGGACAGATTCCTCGCTTTAGAGGCACCGAAAATGCCGGTGCTATGGAGGATCTTCGCTCAGCGGTGAGTTTTAAGCCCATAGGAACGCATTGAAGGGGTTTCAATGCGTTTCTATGGGCTTTTTAATATCACATAGCAACGTTTTGTTCTGCAGCGATTTTTGCGGAACGAATTAACATCGCTAAGTGAGGCACCACTGTATATGAGCTTGGGTTTCTCCAAGTATCATAAACAAAGTTGTGACTTCTGGAAGTGCTCGTGTGTTCTGATGAAGTAAATGTTTTGCCATTTGCAGTAAAGAAAAAAGGGCATATCTCTTACCCAATAGGCACTGGCACGAATGTTTCACACTGTCTTCTACCTAAATGAAGAGTTAGGTTCAACATACTCTCTAACTTTCACTCTGCTGGGTGGGGCTCCGCCTCTCTCACACATGACTTTGCCCCTGGATGCATATGCAACTCCGCCCCCCCCAGGGTTCCAGCATGGCTGGAACCTAATGTGATCACTGCATGGAGGAGGAAGACAACTGTGCAGAGGGAGGCAGAGGTATGTGTGTGCCTAGATTAGAGGGAACCTTGGTTGAGGTGATTCAGTGGGCATACTATTCATATGGGAAATTCAACAAAACACAGTCACTGAACCCATACCCTACAAAAAGAAGTAGTAGTTAGTAGGAGACTTTATTTATTTATTTATTTATATGCTAGGAAGATCTGTGGACCCACCAGAAACTGCAAGTGGCAAGCATCATCATAAAAGGAGCTGGACCACTTACATGAGAATATGAAATGCCTCTTCCAAAGAGACGACTGCTTACATGTATTTTCAAAAACCAAGTGTATGTTTTCATCAGGACAAATTTTGTTCTTCATATGTTAACATATGTGGCTTAACTGATCAACTAAGGCTGTAATCCCATGCCCACTTAGCTGGTAGTAAGCCCTACTGATTTTAATGAGTTTTGTATCTGAATAGGTAACACATTGAAGTGCATTCTGACACTCCAAGTTAATTAATTTGCTACACTGAAGACACCGTAAATCTCCAGAAGATGCAAAGTGGGAAAGGATTTCAGGATTTTTTTTTTTTTTACCTTCGAATCCACCTGGGCCCTGCAGGCCATCTGTCCCTGGATCACCTCTGAAGCCAGGAAATGCTGATACTCCCCCTCTTCCTTGCACTCCTTGTTTACCAGATGGGCCTCTAAAACCTTAAAAATAAAGTTAAAATAAGAATCTCTACCATTTCATAAGTGAATCATCATTGGGGTGAGTAAAAGCTGATCCAACAGGTACAAATACTCAACTATCCCACACATTACACCAGAACACAGAGTTCTAACTCCTGTCTTCTGAAGATGCTAGTCAAAGAGACCAGTGAAACATTAGGAAGAAAAACCTCCAGAACATCGCCAAACAGCTCGGAAAACCAACACAACCATTTGAGAATACAAAAGCTCATTTAGCTTCTAAACATTCAAGGTGGTTATAAGAAAACATAATATTTTTAATGACAAAGATGAAAGCAAGATATCTGAACTTCCTTGCAAGTAGTTAAAATGGGGGAATCTTTGGAGGGAGGGATGGCACCGTACTTCTACTGCTTTCAGAAGTAAACAGCATTTTATTATTGTACTGCCAATATAAGCAGAGCAGCCAAATATATGTGTCAGAATTAGACATGGGAGCTTCATATTTGTATCCCAGGGAAACAAATATGAAGCTCAGTAGCACAGGTGCCAGGGCAGTCCATTATTGCCCCCCAGAGCCAGCTGGGTCCAGTCACTGGGCTCCTTGCAGAATGCACATCCTTCAGCAGTGACATCACACTGATCACATACTTAGTACTGCTGTCAGGAAGACAAGTTTCCCTCCTCAGCTGCTGAGCAGTTGACTGAGGGGAGACGCAGAGAAGTGCTGACAGGACTATGTGTGCAACTGGCATGATGTTGCTGCCAATGGACATGCACAGTGAGGAGTGGTGCTACGCTTCATATTTGTTCATATCTGACTGCATTTTTTTTAGTTTCTGAGCAAGAGTTTGATTACCCACAGATTTCATTTGCAGCAGGAACAGTGAGGGCCCAAACAATCGAAAGGCAAGCATAGGTGATACCTCTATCAGACCACTAACAATCATAAACATTCGTTTTTCTACCATATGGGCCTTCATCAGGCTAGAGGACACCACTTACCTATGGATGGTGCAGAAAAAACACAAGAGTTCCAAAAATCATGGCTAAATATCTATGCCAGGATTTAAAACGAGGCCTGTAAAGTCAAGCCAGGACTGCTGGTTTTAAACTCTACCTCTGGCAATGTTGACAGAGTTGTCCCAAACTCACCATACAGAAGGCTTGCCTTTGGATTGCCTTTAAATTGTGTACAAGAACCACATGGCTTTTTTCCCTTCTGCTGAACAGATAACACTTTGTCCCCAAAGCAACACATTTTAAAAGGTGCCAGTTTTACAAAATCAATATGCAAACAGAGCCCACTGTTTCCTTTCTATGACCAATAAAAGCAGGCTAGTTTATAGTTTACGAAGCTATGAAAGATGTTAGAGGATAATTACATAACCTTCACTGTCTCACATGTTTTAGCCTTCACAGAATAGGATCTGGAAACAGTATAACATATTGGGCATAAATATCTCCCACCTTTAATTTTTTTTTAACGCTTAAGGAATACATAGGACAAAAACGGAGTATCTTTTCTGAAGTTTGCCATATCAGGAAATTGATTAGTGTTGGCCTGAATTATAGAAATCCTATAAGAAAAAAACCTTCATGTGCCTTCATGAACATATTCACACACAGAGTATTGGAAGTGGAGGTGAATGCTGTGCAGGGCAGGGAGAAAAAGAACCCATCATGGCAGGCAGAATCATTTCCTACCTGGATCTCCTGGTGGGCCTTGAGGGCCCATGTCACCCAGAGGTCCTTGAGTTCCTCTGCTTCCATAGGCACCTGGTGCCCCTTGCTCAGCAACCAGTCTAGGAGGGACAGGAGGTAGTCCAGGGGATCCTGGAGGTCCCGGAAATCCTAAAAAGATCCAAAATAAAGATGCTGACTTTGCAGACAGGGTATACAACTTGCATTGGACCATTTGTCTTCTTGCAGTTGATATTGGAGTTTACCCTTTGATGCAAGTAGTGCAATTTCTGTTTTGGTTTCCTGCAGATTTTTATGCTTTTCTGTAATAAAACAGGAACATACACTGGCAGAAGTTAACAGCCTGAAAGGAGTCACTGTTCAATAGACTAATGTTAAATTAGGGGAAATAGCAGAGGGTCTAAATCACACGATGATATGAATGTTGGATAGGAAAGGTGCTGTAGCAGAGGCGTCATATAGATATCTTACTCTAATTCATTCTGTTCGAGCATGCTGTAATAAGTATATCCGTATCAATTGTTAGATAAATATAACAAACTGTATGTGTCCCCAAATCCTCCATAGGTAAGAAGTATCAGGAAATTCCACTGATTCAGATATAAAGGCAGGCTCCACAGTTGTAAACCCACAGAATTTTACTTAATAAACTAGTAATTTGACACAACCCCCTCTTCTAACAACTAAAACACAGTCCTGAAAATGTGGACCGGTTACTTCACATTCCCCTGCACTCATGAGTCCAAGTTCCTGCTTCCAGCAGTACCACTGGCATCTTCCAGGGGTAAGACAGGCCTGGATTAATCCCAAGGTTTATTGGTGTTGAAGGCATAATTCATTCGATCTTTATTGCTCCATATCTTTCTTTTGTCTGTCAGCCGCAAGCAAGCCACTTTGCTCACTCTCTAACTCTTCTCTCTCTATTCCTTTACCCAAGAGGCACTGCCTTGAGCTTACCTACCTGCTATCACGAGGAAGAAGAGATGGACAGTTTCACCTTGCTGCAGCCTCCTGTTTCTCTCCCATTCCCATTCCCATTCCCACCCTCACCCCCATACAGTGGCTATGCAGTCAGTGTTCATACAGCACTCTGGATCTCCCTCCTGCATCTTTGCTGTTCTTCCACAAGCAGACAAAGATTTTTCACTTCAGACAGGCTTTGCCTTAATGAGTGACTGTCTCAGAGGGGTTTTTCAATGGAGTGTTGTGCCTTGTTGCTCTGAATATGTTTTTGATGTTAATTTTGTTTATCAGTTTTAACACAGTATTTATATGATTCTTTTAAATATTTGTATACTTCCTGTTTTATCTTTTAAATATTGTTATTTAATTATGTAAGCCACACTGGGTCCTTTTGAAGGAAAAATGTGGTGTAAAAATATTAAAAACAGTAAATAATGAATAAATATTTGTCTGTGTAATGAATGGGTATGACACAGGGGGATATGCAAAATGAGCAGGTTATGTAAAAATAAGTTTTGGGGGACCTCTGCAAAGATAAACAAGCATCTGAGTGGGAGCTTTCTTTGTTGTTAATAATAAATAATCATGTGCCACCAAGTCAATTCTGATTTATGGTGACTCTTTCTGGGTCTTTCTAATATACAAAAGTGATTTACCATCTCCTTTTTCTGGGGACATCCTGGGACTGGTAAATTCCCAGCTTGCCCAAAGCCACACAGGCTGGCTCTTCTCCTTGGAGGCACAGTGGAGAATTTAACTTCCATCCTCTGGCTCTGCAGCCAGATATGTAAACCACTGAGCTATCCAGCCAGCCAATTGCTAATAGGCCTGTGAACTGCCTGTTATTAATAGGCAGCTATAAACTGAAGAGTTTGGGAAATGGACAGACATTCTTTCCATTTCTCTGCCATGCTGGTCAAGATCCATTGCTTGCTGCAACGGGTTCATTTTGCCTCACAGGAGGAATGAGTTAGTGATGATCCAGTACATTCTACCTTCTCTGTGCAAGAAAAGAAGAAGCTTTATTGAATATGCCCTTAACATGACAACACTGAGAAGTAAAAGATGGGGCTGATACCATTCAAAATGTGTTATAGATCTGGAAGCTCTGATTTAGTTTACATGCTGCGATTTTATAAGATAGCTGTTTCATAAAAAATACAGTCAACTAGCACACTAAAAAACTCACCAGAAGGCCCTCTATCTCCTTTGGGTCCAGTGGGGCCAAAGTCTCCAGGAAGTCCCACAATGCCAACAATACCCATGACTCCTTGTTCACCTTTATATCCTTCAAGGCAAAACAATAATATGGTTGTGTTATTACATACTAGCCTAAATTAGCATTCTAAATTAGTAGCTCTCAGTAATGGGTTTTACCAACTAACCTTTTGCTCCAGGTAATCCTGGTATTCCTGGTCGTCCAGCTGGGCCTGGGTCTCCTCTAAGTCCTTTTGAACCATCCACTCCTTTCACACCTATTTGTCCTACCTCTCCTTTGGGACCTGGCGGACCAGCTGCTCCTGGTATTCCTATAGTTCCTGGGTAACCTGTAGGGTTTTCACATGTTTAGAACTTGTATTGGAAGACAAAGCTTGCAACACTCTTCACTACTTCGAAGAGGTAAACTATATTACTTATAGCACCTATATAACAAGAAAACTTGGGTATTATGAAACATTATTCTTTTTTAATGGGAAAGCCCTTTCCATCACTGTTCTAAAAAAATGACAAGCCAATACTGATATGCATGTCCGCATCATCACCATGCGTTTAACTCTACACAGAGTAAGGCACAGCTGACTGCTTGAATGGGACTTTTGTGTATATGCATAGGTGCTGAAATTCTGGATTTTGATTCAGAACACTTCCAGAAAGGGCTTTATTTTGCACTCACCCAGTCTTGTAAATGGAACTCTACAGACAATCCAGACAATCCACCTGGTAAATTTGTGACTTCTTCCATATTTTTAATATTAAAAAACTATGTTAAGGAGGAACAGACGTAATAGTTGCAGAAAGACTTTTGAACACTAGTGCTACATCTGTCTGTTGGAGGGTGTGACTACATAGCGGGAAACACTCAGTTTGATTCGAAGTTTTTCATGCTGGTTGACCAATGGTTTTAGCCATCCAGATGAATACAAACAATTATGTTGCAGGAGTCAACGGGGCAAAAGCAGAGAAACCTTTGGATGTGTTTAGACTGAGCTTCAACAGCTATTACTGAACTAACAAGGTCTTAATTGGCAGTTTGCACTGAGACCATTCCTTCCCTTTGCCTCTTTTTAATTTTTTTCATTCTTCCTAAATGAGTTCTAATCTGTTGCAGCACTAATTTTACAAAAACCCATTTTTTAAAAAACCACTATTTGGAGACAACCCCTTATGGATTGCTGCCTTGTCATGGTGAAGGGGCTTGAGTAATTCAGAGAAGCTATGGGCTATGCCGTGCAGAGACAACCAAGATGGACAGGTCATAATGGAGAGTTCCGACTAAACGTGATCCACCTGGAGCAGAAACAAGCCACTCCAGTATCTTTGCCAAAAAAACTCAATGGACAAAAACAAAAGGCTAAAAGATATGGTGCTGGAAGATGAGCCCCTCAGGTCAGAAGGCGTCCAACATGCTACTGAGGAAGAGTGGAGGACAAGTACAAGTAGCTCCAGAGCTAATGAAGTGGTTGAGCCAAAGCCGAAAGGACGCTCAGCTGCAGACATGCCTGGAAGTGAAAGGAAAGTCCTATGCTGCAAGGAAAAATACTACATAGGGACTTGGAATGTAAGATCCATGAACCTTGGGAAGTTGGATGTGGTCAAGCAGGAGATGGCAAGAATAAACATTGACATCCTGGACGTCAGTGAACTAAAATGGAGAGGAATTGGACAAATTGAATTCAGACAATTATCATATCTACTATTGTGGGCAAGAATCCCGTAGAAGGAATAGAGTAGCCCACATAGTCAACAAAAGAGTGGGAAAAGCTGTAATGGGATATAATCTCAAAAATGATAGAATGATTTCAGTACAAATCCAAGGCAGACCTTTCAACATCACAATAATCCAAGTTTATGCACTAACCACCAATGTTGAGGAGACTGAAATTGACCAATTTTATGAAGACTTACAACACCTTCTAGAACTGATATCAAAGAAAGATGCTCTTCTCATTACAGGGGATTGGAATGCTAACGTAGGGAGTCAAGAGATAAGAGGAACAACAGGGAAGTTTGGCCTTGAAGTTCAAAACGAAGCAGGACAAAGGCTAATAGAGTTTTGTCAAGAGAACAAGCTGGTGATCACAAACACTCTCCTCCAGCAACACAAGAGGCGACTCTACACATGGACATCACCAGATGGGCAATACCGAAAGCAGATTGTTTACTTTCTCTGCAGCCAAAGATGGAGAAGCTCTACACAGTCAGCAAAAACAAGACCTGGAGCTGATTATGGCTCTAATCATCAGCTTCTCATAGCAACATTCAGGCTTAAACTCAAGAGAGTAGGAAAAACCACTGGGTTAGTCAGGTATAATCTAAACAAAATCTCTTATGAATACACAGTGGAAGTGAAGAACAGATTTAAGGAACTAGATTTGGTGGACAGAGTGCCTGAAGAACTTTGGATGGAGGCTCGTAACACTGTAGATGATGCAGCAACATAAACCATCCCAAAGAAAAGGAAATGCAAGAAAGCAAAGTGGCTGTCCAACAAGGCCTTACAAATAGCAGAGAAGAGAAACAAAATGCAAGGGAGATATGGAAAGCTACAGAAAATTGAATGCTGACTTCCAAAGAACAGCAAGGAGAGACAAGAAGGCCTTCTTAAATGAACAATGCAAAGAAATAGAGGAAAATAATAAAAAAGGAAAAACCAGAGATCTGTTCAGGAAAATTGGAGCTACTAAAGGAACATTTTGTGCAAAAATGTCCTTTATCATGTCCATCTAAAAGAAGCAGAAGATATCTAGGAGAGGTGGCAAGACTAGACAGAGGAATTATACCAGAAAGATTTGGATATCCCAGACAACCTAGATAGTGTGGTTGCTGACCTTGAACCAGACATCCTGGAGAGTGAAGTCAAGTGGGTCTTAGAAAGCATGGCTAACAAGAAGGCTAGTGGAGGTGATGGTATTCCAGTTGATCTATTTAAAATCTTAAAAGATGACGCTGTTAAGGTGCTACACTCAATATACCATCAAGTTTGGAAACCTCAGCAGTGGCCAGAGGATTGGAAAAGATCAGTCTACATCCGAATCCCAAAGAAGGGCAATGCCAAAGAATGCTCCAACTACTGTACAACTGCACTCATTTCACACGCTAGCGAGGTTATGCTCAAAATCCAACAAGGTAGGCTTTAGCAGTATGTGGACTGAGAACTGCCAGAAGTACATGCTGGATTTCAAAGGGGCAGAGGAACTAGAGACCAAATTGCTAACATGCGCTGGATTATGGAGAAAGCCAGAGAGTTCCAGAATAACATCTACTTCTGCTTCATTGACTATGGGTGGATCAGAGCAAATCATGGCAAGTTCTTAAAAAATGGGAGTGCCTGACCATCTTATCTGTCTCCTGAGAAACCTATATGTGGGACAGGAAGCAACAGTTAGAACTGCATATGGAACAACTGATTGGTTCAAAATTGGGAAAGCAGTATGAAAAGACTGTATATTGTCCCCCAGCTTATTTAACTTATATGCAGAATACATCATGCGAAAGTCCAGACTGGAGGAACCCCAAACCGGAATTAAGATTGCAGGAAGAAATATCAACAACCTCTGATATGCAGATGATACCACTGTGATGGCAGAAAGTGAGGAGGAATTAAAAAACCTCTTAATGAGGGTGAAAGAGGAGAGTGCAAAAAAGGGTCTGAAGCTCAACATCAAAAAAACTAAGATCACAGCCACTGGTCTCATCCCTCCTGGCAAATTGCAGGGGAAGATATGGAAGCAGTCACAGATTTTACTTTCTTGGTCTCCATGATCACTGCAGATGGAGACAGCAGCCACAAAATTAAAAGACGCCTGCTTCTTGAGAGGAAAGTGATGACAAATCTAGACAGCATCTTAAAAAGGAGAGACATCACCTTGCTGACAAATGTCTGCATAGTCAAAGCTATGGTTTTTTTTCCATCAGTGATTCATGGAAGTGAGAGCTGGACCATAAAGAAAGCTGAATACCGAATAATTGATGCTTTTGAATTGTGGTGCTTGAGGAGACTGTTGAGAGTTCCCTGGAGTGCAAGGAGATCAAACTTATCAATTCTGAAGGAAGTCAACCCTGAGTGCTCACTGGAAGGACAGATCCTGAAGCTGAGGCTTCAATACTTTGGCCATCTCATGAGAAAGAGAGGTTACTTATTTGTAACTCTGGTTCTTCTGAGGATAGAACTGCATGTCCAAAATCCGCATGTACCTTGGCATGCATATCCAGATGATAGTGGGATGTGAAGGTTGATGGAGCTGACCAAGTGGCAGCCCTGCAGATATCCGGAATCAGAACATCGCACAGGAAAGCGGTGGAGGTGACCAGAGCCCTGGTGGAGTGAGCCTTGACACTGGCCGAGAGAGGCTTCTGGGCAAACTGGCAAGTCAAGTGTATGGTTTGCACAATCCATCGTGATGTGGTTTGTGGGGATATTTGTACTCCTCTGTGAGGTGGGTGAGGAGATACAAACAAGTGCTTGGACTTTCAAAAGGAAGCTGTCCTCTTTACATAAAAAGTTGTGAGTTATTGGTCCCATAAATGAGATCAAAAACCACGAAACAGGAAAATCCAGGCTTCCTTCACTCCCGACTTAAGTTAACTGCTTGAGTCAACACAGTTTCCGGGACATGAACTCTTGGCAAACCTGCATTTAAGGCTGTTTCGATTTACTAAAAAGAAACCACTCAATACCGTATCTTTACTGTTCAATGACTCAATTTTGGTAACGTAAGCCAAATTTATTATCTCTAGGGAAACTGTTCTGTTCAAAGGACTAGAAAGGCCAATTATTAAACAACATGAGTTTATTTAAGTGAACAAAGAAAACATTTCTCTACAGTTTTATTTCTAAGCAACAGCATAACGTTTCAGCACCTTCTATAAAAATTAACTATTAAACAAAACAAAATCTAAACTATAAACTAAGGTAAACAACCGATATTCTTACGCAGTCCATATTGTTAAATCAGGTTCCTTCGTCTGGATCAAAGAAATTCAACGCCATGTTTTCAGATACCCAAAACTCTCTTCCTCCTTCTCTCTCTCAGAGTTCCTTTTTCCAACCTCCTGTAAATTTCTCCAACCTGCCCCTTCCTGACATATTCAACCAATCACGAAGGAAAGAATTAGCATAGGGTACGCCCTACTTTCCCACCAACACCAAAGAATTGTTTATCATTCAGGTTAGAGATATTTTGACTCTGCCGTGTTTTTCTCTCCAGCTGCAGCGATAAGGTTAGCGAATAAAGCTGAAAATAACTACTAGTAATTTTCCAGAACTTAGCCTGTGTCAGACTCAAAATGGATTCCTCTATGGTTAAGACATGACTACATAACCCAT